TTCGTATACAGGAAACCTACTTAACGTGGTGATAAGAGCATCCCCGGTGAAGGCTCCATCTATTGGTGGGGAGCTGCACCTGCTGGAAATCGGGTCGAGCGTCCCTATACAATGATGTGAATGTATCAGCTTGAAATCGGGTCCAGCGTCCCTATACAAAGATGTGTTGATATCTCCTACTACCTATGTATGTTCGTTAACCAATATATGTCAGATGATGGGAGAACCCTATCCATCTTATCTATAGTTTCTCCTTCTTTTTTTTTTTTTTTTTTTTTTTTTTTTAAACTGCCTGAACTGATGCTAGAGGTGCTGGTAAGAGCAGTCACCTCTAGCACTGCCAGGGAGGATCCATCTATTGGTGGGGAGCAGCACCTGCTGGAAAGCGGGTCCAGCGTCCCTGAACATTGTCGTTGTTTGTGTGACTAAACATACATTTACAATGACTGCAAGCGGTGATATACCCAGATCTCCTAGCTGTTATTAGGAGAGTCAGTGACCTAATATTCTAAGAAGATTTTGTATTTCACGGGTATGGGCCACAATTTCGGCCGCATGAAGAACAGGGAATGGAAGTGAGAGGACGTGCGGTCGAGGTTGGAGAAGATCGGCATGACGAGGAAGGCCATCGACCGCGAGAAGAAATGGGACAACTTAACGCAGCAGTTCAAGAACGTTCACAAGTTTCAGCATTTGTCCGGCAAGGACTACTTCAAGCTTGCGTCATTGGCCAGGAGATCAGAGGGCTTCAACTTCGTCATGGACCGGAGCATGTACGACAAGATGGAGGCGATGACCAAGGGGGATCACACAATCCACCCAAAGAATTTCGCGGACACGGGGGTGTTCGGGGGGGTTCAGATGCCAGCAGGCGCAGGCGCGGGGGGAAAATTCATGGGCACTGAGGGTGGAGGGGGGCTTGTCGACGAAGAGCAGGGGTCGATGAAAGATTCGACATTCAGCGTCCGGAGCACCGACGATTCAATGAAAAGGAAGAACATGCGACAACAAACATTCGAGGTCGCCGAAGTCATGGACAAACATGGAACACTTATGGCATGCACCATGGACACAGCAAGCAAGCGACAATGTTCCATGATGTTACGGCAATGCGAAATCCTTAAGAGCGAAGTGGAAGTGTAGAGGAAACATTATATTGCGACGGATGAGGCGAACAAAATGATGTGCAACGCCCTTCTGGAGATAGCGAGAGCCATCCGCGAGAGATCATGATGATGCCGGTGTGACGCGTCGTTGTCGCTTGCCCTGTCCAGCTCCGGGCCTAAGCATCGTGGTTGTTGTCTCTTCTTCCCGGCGACGAAAACTGTAGTGTCTTGTCTCTCTGTCCACTGTGACTGCGACGTCATCGATCTGTGTGTTTGTGTGTGTACAGTTGATCGCACGAACGTGTGCGCGCGATGATTAGCAAGAGGGCTGATTGATGTTTGTTTGTTTGTTTTTTTCGTTGCCGCGTCATCACCAAGTTTTTTTTTTTTTTTTTTGTCTCTGATCTCTTTCATATTTGGGGAGAGTGCTTCGTGGATGTTTTGCGAGCTGCAAATTCACAGAGCCACGTGTGAAAGGGGTTTTGTGTGTGTGTGTTGGGGGGGGGGGGGGGCGGGCGGGGTCGGGGGGTAGGGGGGTAGGGGGGTAAGGTTGTTTTTTGTCCCTGTCGATTGCATCGACGCATGCAGACGGGGCCGTCAAAGGGCCCCTTCGAGGCTTTGGGAGAGCGACTATGACAACGGTCTGGAAAGCTGCGGTCGCACGTGTCACCGTCGACGATGACGCTAACCAAAGAAGCAACGTTGTGGCTGGTCCATCTGCTCCGTCTACATTAGGCATTTGCATCCCGGCCCGCATAAAGGTTGTCTGGTCGTGGCGTCTTCACTACAGAAGATGGCTGCTGCACTTGCTACACAGGGAGTACAACCACACAGGCCGCCCTCCAACTTTTGACCTCGTGGTCGCGGAGCTCTCTCGCCTCATCGCCGTGGACCTCTTCAATGCCGTGAAGGATCAGCGTTGTCGCTCTTCTCGCCTTTTCACCGCGAAGCTTTCTCGCCACGTGGATCTTCGACGTCGTCGCTCTTCTCGCCTTATCGTCGTGGAGCACTCTCGCCTTATCGGCGTGGAGGTGTCCCGCTACGTGGAGGTTCTGCGCCGTCACTCTTCTCGCCTTGTCGCCACGGATCTGTCTCACGACGTGGATGTTCACCGCCGTCCGTCTTTGGAGCAATAAAACATGAGCGCTCTCGCCTCATCGCCGCGGAGTTTTCTCGCCATGTTGAGGTTCGCCACCATCGCTCTTCTCTCGTTATCGCCGTGGAGCTGTATCGTCGGGGTCCTTACCCTCCTCTTGTACACGTGGATGACGACATCAGTTGTGCGTCATCGACATTTGTTCTTCGTCGCCTCAGAGGGAGTCCTTGTCGTGCACCATCGGTACGCATCGTCGTTGTTATCACCAGATTAGTTGGACTTCAATCGCCGCTCAACATTCTACTCCCGCTCATCTCATCGGACCGCCAACCTTAAGCGTAGAGGGCAAGACAAACCATGTCTACTTGAGCCGCTGCCCGTGGTAGGAAGCGGGACAGCATCCCGGATGACACTCAAGGGCGGGACAGGGGTCGACGCCGACTTGGCGACATGTCCCGAAGGCGAAGAGGGTTCATTCGGGCAGTGCTTCAGGAAGCGTGCCTCCTCGTGAAGCACACGGTTGGGCGAGACTAGCGGAAGTCAACGACAATGACGTATTCACGATGGAGGAATTACTGGTGGAGGCGACCAAGTCTGTAGTGCGGGAGAGTGGTCGCCAGCGTCCTTTTGATCAGACCGCTGGCAGGATGAGCCTGACGCCGCCACCCGAGGAGCAACACATGAGTGCCCGTGAAACGTAGAAAGAGAAGGAGGATGTCGTCGATCTCGACGCCGATAATGAAGAGCGGTCGGAACAACGTCGCTCGTGCAATGTAACCCAACCCGCCACAACGACAGCATGGACGACACGTGGCGCTAGTGATGAAAGGCCACCTCCGGGTGGACTGCCTGCCACACCGACTCAGCCGCGTCCGCGAAGGCCCGCTGAAGAGGGAGGGTCCGTCGAACGAGGCGGCGGGGGTGGAGTCCAGCCAGACGCGCTCGTAGCTAGGGGCGAGGCAGTCGGTGCTGCGGCTGCGGGAGCTTCAGGCATCGTGGCCTCCGTTGGACGGGTAGAGAGGACGTGCAAGTCGAGCGGGAAGTGGGGCGTGGTGAGAACAGACATAATCAGGAGGATGGTGAGCCGCTTTTAAGCCGACTATGAAGGGGAGCCATGGTGAAAGATCTGGTCGACCGTGCAAAGCATTTTGGATGACGGGGGAAGGGCGAAGACTGTACAACATTGTCCAAGAAACACTAGAGTATTTTGTTGCCATCGCCAGTGGTCTTCAAGCGTTTGCTGTCCCCTGAAGTATCGTCATGCCGGAATCCAGCACAAAGCTCATTAGGATCACCGACCCCGCACAACTGCAACATGCGATCTCTCGTGCGGCGACGGTGGAGAATATTGCTCTGCGTGTCTTGCATGGGTGGGTGTTCAAGTCCTGGAACTGCCCTAGAGGTTACAATCTGGCTTTCCCGTACGCACTATGTGGTACGACGAGGAGTGGAGCAACTTCGTCAGTGCATTCGTGTGCGAGCACACAATAGACCTCTGCATGGACTTGTCACTATGGTCCGCGGGTACCAACATCGAGGAAAGGCCTGAAGACAACGACATGAAAGCCTACCAGGAGTCCACCATCATATGCATCGCGCATGCATTCCACGCCGCGGTTCAAATGGGTGTTAACATTGACGATGGGTTTTTCTCACACGACCGTCTTTCGCGGATTGCTGACTGCTTCAAGCTTTTGTTGGTGGCAAGCATGTGGTTGATGTGCATGGCGGGAGATGATCTGCGCCTATGAATCCCCTTCGGAGCCGGCCATGTGCGGCCTAGGTTGTGGCTGCGGCCTAGGCCACGACCCCGCGACCATGGCCTTGGTCCACGGCCATGGAAAAAAAAAAAAAAAAAAAATMAAAAAAATCTGGAAAAACAAATGTTGTGCGGGAAAATATATTGAACAACTTTTGCCTTGTGGTCATATCCAAAAACGTCACTGAATTTAAAATAAAAAAACACAAATGTTTCATAGTTTTTCTTAAAAAAAAAAAAAAAAAAAAACAGTTTTTGCCTCAGGAAAAATAGTTTTTGAATTTATAAATTCGAAGACGAAGTCAAAAAAAAAAACAAAAAACATTGCGCAATTTAGATCTCGGAAAGATCTACAACCCCATATATATATATCGTCACAAACAGATATATATATATCGTCACAAATAGAACTGTCCGGTAAACCGTAGGCAAAGAGAGAGAAGAGGACAACAAACGAGGGGCTGTGACAATTTGTTTCGTCGGAGTTTCACCGACTCATCAGGAGGCTGATATATCTATTTGACGATATATAACGATATATATATATATATATATATATATATATATATATATATATATATATATATATATATATATATATATATATATATATATA